TATGGCCCAGAGGTTTTCAATGGGGTTCATGTCAGGAGATTGGCTCGGCCAGGGCAACTTTTGGTGTTTCTAGCAGTGTGACACGGTGCTCCATCTTCCTGGACCAACGTTGTGTTCTTGTCCACAAAACCCAAGGAATAAAGTGGCAAGAGTCCTTCCTCCAATATATCGACATATTTCATAAAATTTATGTTGCCAAAGCACTCCACTAAGCTCGATCGCCCACCAACCCAAACAGCTCCCCAAACCATCACACTGAAATCACAGCTTCACAGTTGGCTGCAATCTGTTGAGCCAAAACTCTTGGTGAGGCATTCTCCAGACCCATATCCTTCCACTGTCCAAAATTTGAGCAAATCTTGATTCAAAAGTCCAGAGGCTTGGTCATCATATCACTTGCCAACTTCTTTCGTCTGACTATGTTGGCAGGTCTTAATAAGGGCTTCCGTCTAGCTGCTCTGCAACGATAACCCAATCTGTGGAAAATCCGTTGAACTGATTTCGGGCTCATCCCACCAACTTTGGCTACTTTTGCAGTCGTTAATCTGGGATCCTTTTAGATGCTCCTCTTGAAAGCCCTTTTTGTCCTCTCCGATGGACCAGAACGACCCGGACGCTGCTCAGTTGTTTCCTTGCAGTGTTTCCTGAACTGCACGATGATTCTGTTGACTGTTGGAAGCGGGATTCCCAAATTATGTGAAATTTGCCGCTGACTTATTCCACCATCTGCTTGACCAACTATCCTTCCTCTAACAAAATCTGACAATTTAGAGAGAACCTTGAGTTCTAGGCATGCTGTAGCACAAGATAATTAGTGTGCGGACCATTTTCATTTATATAGTGCTCTGTGAACACAAATTAGTTATCATAAATCAGTTAAATGATGAAAAATTAGGTGTCTATTTACTTGTGACCACTCAGTGTATGCACAATTTTGAACATGTGATTAGTAGTTTATGTATATGTGTAGAATTAGCCACTCTCAGCCGTTATTGTATTGTATAACATTAACTGGTTATTCATTCATGCACTCAATAGATCAATTATAAGACATCTATAGTTCCATGACAACAAGAAAAGTACAGGAATTACATTGCACTGAAAATAATTATTGAAATGTAACAATCTAAATAGTATTTCTACCATGAAAATGGCCTTTACTACATGTAAAAGTTCATGGAACACAGTTTAATTGTCTATCCTTACCAAGAGAACCCGCCTTTATTACATAGGAAATTTTATATGATACAATTTAACATCTATCAAAAAAACATACTTTTTAAATTGAGGTGGTGATGTGACGTTAAATTGAGAAAGTAGGGTAGTGTGTGGTCGATGTCTGGAAGAATGCCCATTAATCTTTATATCTTTGACTTGAGCTGTAAGTTGATCAACCACTTTCTGCAAATTGAAGAGGAGGTTTTCATTGTTTGTGACAGCACGATATACTGTTTGTATAGTAGGAAGCTGAAGCTTGTATCTGTACAGAGATTGGAAGTGAAACACATTAATCATTCTTCAAATACATAACAACAGTCTATGAAATATATCATCATGAAATAATCCAGAAAGGAACTCATAAACGATTTGTTTAACTCAGACTTAAGTGCATTCAATAAACACTGGTATGACAAAATCTTTAACCCTTATCAAAACAGTTCCTACAATTACATAGTGTAAATAATCTGTTGTCCATAATTAATCATAAGTGACAACTTACTGTTCATATTTGAAGATGCAACGTGTCTGTAGCAGCATAGAACCTTCAAGATTCTAATAATTACCAACACAATTCTTTCACAAAGGATTTTATCATATCAAACAATGTCAAAACAAGGTGAGAAACTCTTAAGTTCAAAATAATTTTTCATTAAACACCTAAATAAGATTTAATTAGTACTACTAAAATTTCCTGAAGTATCAGGAAGACAACATTTTGACAATTCAATTCAAATAGTTAAAACAGGTCATTCTCTTAGTTGGTTGGTTGGTTGGTGTTTTATGGTGTCAAAGCAGCTA